GCGCGCCGGGAGCCGAGAGCCGGGAGCCGAGAGCCGGGAGCCGGCAGGGGCGGGGAGGGGGCGGCCGGAGGGAGGGGGAGAGGAGAAGAGGAGACCCCCCCCATCCCAGCCCCCGCCACTCGCCAGCGCCCGGCACCCGAACCGGGATTAGAGAATAAATTATCTGCTCTCTTCTCATTGGGCTGCGGCTGAGGACGCCGTCGGCGGCTCGGGGCTGGGAGCTCGCCCGGCTCTTTGCATTCACCGCACAGCTCCGGCTCGCCTCGCTTCGCGGGGGCCGAGAGCCCAGGGCCTTGGCTCCAGACGCCGGAGGACACCAGCCGGCTGGCCGCGCCACCCCTCCCCCGCCAGCCGGCTTGGCCTGACCCTTCTCCCCTCCCAATTCTGGCTGGTGTCTGGGGGCGGAGAGACCCAGGAAAAGAAGCCCAGAGGGTGGCGATCTCAGAGTTCCTCTGCCCTCTCTTGTTTCGCCTCCTCCCCAAGAAGGAGAAAGGCCAGGGCAGCTGGGGTCAATTACCTGAGTCAAGCCCACCTCAGAGAGGGCTTTGAGAGCTCTCGGAGAGGATCCCTTCGGTGTCCAAGGCCCCTGACTTGGGGCCATCTCCTGCCCTCCACACAACAGCAATGACACAGAGGAGCTGCCACTCAGCCTCTTTGCTTTCTCCTCTCTCTGGCTCCATCAGCTCCCCATTTCCTGGGCCTTCCGTTGGTCCACCTGGGAAGACAACTCATTAACTGCCTGCAAAGCAGTTCCCTGCCAAGAATTCATTCATTCATTCATTCATTCATTCTTTCAAGCAAGCAAGCAATGTTCAGGGCCACCACCCCTGTGTTGATGTGAACTAGGCACCGGGAATACAGAGGAGGAGATTCAGATGAGACAGTCATGTAAAGAAAAAAAGAACTACAACTGTGTGAGAGGTGTTATACCAAGACATAGGCAAGTTTTGAACCCAAATGTAGGAGTGACTAACCAGACATTCCTTCAACAAATAATTCAGCCTTTCTTAAGTGCTAGTCTCTGTGCTGTGCATTCGAGATACACAGGTGAACTGACGGGCTTCGTGCCCACTCCCCTGGAGCTGACAGTCTGGTGGACAAGATGGATACTGACTGGTGTGATATGAGCTAATCAGGAGACATTGCGGGTGGGGTGGGGTGGTGTGGTGAATAGCAGGGCATTTACGATTCTTAATCTACTCTGGGGAGTCCAGAAAGGCTTCTCTGAGGAAATGAGATCTAAGTGGAGGTCTGAAGGATGAAAAAGAGACAGCTAGGTGAGGATGGGGTGGGAGGGGAAACGGAAGAGCTCTGGGCAAAAGAGACTTGTAGAAAGGCCTTGATCTGCTGGTAACAGGCCCTTCAGAGGGCAGGTAAACGTCCACCTTGCAGAGAAAGCGGTGGGCCTGGGAAGGCTCAGACCACAACCACACAGGCTAATATTTTGAAAGAGGCTCAGGTGTGTGTTGTTCTTTCTCATTCTGGGCCAACCCCACACCATACCCCCATTTTACCTTGAGTAACTGTCTGTTGCAACTAGACCAAGTCTGTGCCTGCTAAAGACAACCTTGAAATAAAGAACTTAAATGGCAATATCCCTGCTTCAGCTTATCACTTCCCAGCCGCCTGTACCACACTGTTTACTGCATCAGTCAGTGACCCTTGGCCCTCATACGGGGAAGCTGTCCATAGGACGCCCCTAGACGTCCTTCCATGTGCTGGGATTGTATGATTTCCAAGAACTTCTGCACTTATTGTCCCTAGATTCTCTCAACAGCCTTTTGAGTTAAGTTTATTGGACAGTGAAGCTTATCCCCATTGGACAGATAGGGAAACCGAGAGTCAGAAAGGGACAGTGTCCTGCCTAAGTGTCATATACAAATTCCATGGTCAAGCAGTGTTTGTGAAGTTTCTATGAGACCTTAAGTATTTGCCACTCACCCCTCCCCCTGCCCCCAGCTCCTGGGTGAACCTCCTGAGAGTAGGGGCTAGAGTGATCCCCTGCCTCTGCCTCCGTAATAGCCTTCAGCACCTAGGACAGGGCTCTGCACACCCAAGCTCTTGGGCAACCCTGTTGAGTGAGCGGCTGTGGTGAAGGGAGGGAAAGGATGAAACGGCAGATTGGGAACATGTTATAGCGGAAACTGTGTGGGCTTTGGACTCAAACATACCTCAGTTGGAATTACCACTGTTACCAACACATGCTGTGCACTTTACTTAGCCTTTCTGAGCCACAGTTCCTTCGTCTTCCAAAGAGGATTCACAGAACCCACCTGAGGAGGCTATTGTGAAGATTAAGTGAAATTAGATGTATGTGGAATATTTATGGAAAAATACCAAAACATTGGTAACAGCAGTCACTTCTGGAAAAGGGATCTGAGTGGATGGGACACAGGAGTAAGTAGAGAAGCTCACTTTTCATGGTTTACCCTCCAGTAGTTGTGATACTGTATCCTGTGTGTGTATTACCTACCCAAATTGAATGAAGTATTTTAATGAGATAATATGTGAAGCAACACAATGACAACAAAATTGTCATTCTTTACACATTTGTTGAAGTGAGTTGAGTTTTGCAGTCTGAAACAGCAAGATTGTCATCAAGGAAAACCACGGAGTCTCTTTCAGAAAGTGACTCTGGCCTGAAGGTTTGCACACTGTCCTGTCTACAGGCAAAGGTGAAGATGTCTAACCGGGTGAGCTATTTTGCAGCCCAGAAGTTTTGTAGTTCAAACCCTCAATCACAGAGGGAACCAGCATCCCAGCAGGCTTATTGTTCCACTCAGAGATCAAGTCCCTGGAAGAAACAGGAGATGGCTGGAGATGGAGCAAGGGTGATGGGGAGGAAAGGCCAGGAGGTCTGGACAGCCTCTCAGCAGGCCCCACTCTGTCTAGAGAGGATAGGGCAGGAAGGACTCCTCGACCTGCCTCCTAGTGTTGCTCTTCTAAGGCTTAGCGGGCGAGCTACCTGCCCGGGCACCCTGTGGCCCCCGGGGAAAGCTGAGAGCAGCAGGTGCAGAGCCTAAGGAGGGGAGTGGGCTTTCTCCTGTTACCTTCCAGGTATTGAGGTCCCAGACAAGACAGGGCAGCCATTCATCCACCAGCACAAAGAGACACTCTCTCAGGCACATGGAGACCAGGCCAGGTCACCTCAGACACTGGGGCATAACATCAGTGGGAACTTTAGAGGCCTCTTAGAAAAAGCTTTGGACTCATATCTCGTGGTCCTGGGGGAGGGGTTGGGACAGGAGGGAAGCATTTTGTGGGATATTCTGGGGAAGCAAAGACAGAGACAGTGGCCCCGGCCCTAATGAAACAAAGAGTAGGCAAACAGGATCAGAATGGCTAGAAAAATAGGAGTCAAAAGAAATAGAAATCATTCATTCGGGTGGAACAGCAGCTAAGGGGAAAAGGAAGGGATGCCAAAGACCCAGGGTGGGAAGGGCCATCTTCCATCTAGGGGAAGGAGGTGGTTGCTCTTTTTTCTGCTCTGAGTTTCCAGAGAAGGGCCTGCAATGAGGGTGCTGGGTTTTAGTCTGGGGTCGGGGCTGGGGGACAGGGATGTCATGCAGCTCCAATCTTGGACAGGTCACCTTCCTATCCCCACCTTTGCCTGCTGTCCACACCTTGCTAATTAAGGCAAAACAAACTACACTCTAGCTCCTGGTCAGTCTTAAA